ACAGTCCACGTGCGCAAAGATGGGCCCGGCTCGCACATGGCTCCCGATCCCATCTTCGCCGTCCCGCACAATATAAAGATATAATAAGTACTACTGAGTTGCGGTATTGTAAAATAAAATATTTAAGTTTTTCATGCATCTGGAGTCAGTTTCTTAAGGGTAATTGAGTGACATATTTTTATTTATGGGCTGGTTTATAGGAAGTGTGACTATTTTTTATGAAGGTGAGATGGGACTTATCCTTAGAATCTTATTATTTGTGGTAGTAACACTTCAATAATATGATGCTTGATCAAGTAGAAATATAAAATCTCTTGGGGACAATAATACTTCATTCTGATAAAATATTTAAAATGTCTTCCTCCTTCCTTTCAATCCCAGTGTTTACCTTGGGAGGTATTTCTCAACTTCAGTCTCAAAACTTGGTATTTAAATGTCCCCTTTGATCATATTTTCACCTTAAGTTCATCTTATCATCAATGTGACTGGATCTGAGTTTTCAGAATGGGTGAAGCTGGGTGGATGTATTAGCCTCAGTCAAATATGTGAGATCTTAGTGACGCTGGGTTCTTTTTTATTTTTTGTTTGCTTTTTGGCATTGTCTCTTTCCTGATATTTGTCAAATGCAAATTTTAGTCACTTGATAATTTGTCACAGTGAACTGATTATTACAACTTGGTGGGGATAGAGGAAAACCATCCTATTGGCTCCCATATACAGTGATATACGCTAGTGCCAAATAGAGTAGAGGAATCGCTTCCCTTGATTTGCAAGTGACACTCCTGTTGATACAACCAACTATGCTGTTGGCTTTTTTGCAGCAAGAGCTCTTGGGACAGGAGCTTAAACTGAAAACAAAGGCTAATGAGGAAAGAGAGAATTTATTTTCATAGTTGGTAGGGTCGGAAGAGACCTGAGCAGATCATGAAGTCTGACCCCCTGCCTTGGCAGGAAAGAGTACTGGAGTCAAATGACCCCAGCAAGTTGCTCATCTAGCCTCCTCTTAAAGATCCCCAGGATAAGAGCCAGCACCACTTCTCTTGGAAGTTGGTTCCAGGTCCTAGCCACCCTGACTGTGAAGTAGTGCCTCCTGATGTCTAGTCTGAATCTACCCTCTTCCAGCTTGTGACCATTATTTCTAGTCACTCCTCGTAGTGCTCGGGAGAACAGGGACTCCCCAATGCCTGCTGGTCCCCTCTGACTAGTTTGTAACAGGTCAACTAGATCCCCCCCCCTCAGCCTTCTCTTGTGGAGGCTGAACAGGTTCAGGTCCCTTAGCCTCTCCTCGTAGGGCCTGCCCTGCTGACCCCTGATCATGTGGGTGGCCCTCCTCTGAACCCTCTCAATACTGTCCACATCCCTCCTGAAGTGCGGCGCCCAGAACTGGACGCAGTACTCCAAACTGTGGCCTGACCAGTGCCGCATAGAGGGGGAGGATCACCTCCTTGGACCTGCTTGAGATGCATCTGTGGATGCATGACAAGGTGTGTTTGGCCTTCTTGACCGCGTCCCCACACTGTCGGCCCATGTTTATTTTGGCATCAATAATGACTCCAAGATCCTTTTCTGTCTCTGCACTGACAAGAAGGGAGTTCCCCAGCCTGTAGGTATGCTGCTGGTTCTTCCTCCCCAGGTGCAGTACTTTGCACTTGTCAGTGTTGTCATCCTGTTCTCATCTGCCCACCCCTGTAACCTGCCTAGGTCCAATTGCAGCCTATTCCTCCCTTCTAGCATGCCCACTTCTCCCCACATCTTAGTGTCGTCAGCAAATTTGAACGTGGTGCTTTTTACCCCCTCGTCCAAGTCACTGATGAAGATGTTGAACAGCGTGGGTCCGCTTCTGTTTTAAAGTAGGCTGAGGGGATAGAAGCTTTTATGCTCGGTCAGTAGTGTTCCGTGTTTTCAGTTTTTACCAGTCTCCCCCTGCCCCATCAATTAGGGAATTTAATTTTTTTTATTGAATTTATTTGGTTTCTACTGATTTACACCTGTTTTTCAGTTCATTCAATGTTACCAGTTATAGTAAAATCCCCATTAACTGGCATGAGTGGGGAATGGGCCATTCCCCATTCGTGCCAGTTAACAGGGATTTGAACTGAAAAATGGGTGTAAATCGGTAAAAACTGAATGACTTAAAAAATCAGGGGATTTATCAGTGAAAATTGGTAAAAACTGAGAATGTGGAACACTAGTGATAACTAAGGGTGTGTTGTTAGTGCGTGGTGGGGGTTGGCGGGGTGGGTGGGCCCACAGGAATTGCTGCCAGGGCTGGTGAGTTCCACCTGCACCCCGGTGGCTCTGGCTGTGGCCCTGCCCTGGGAGCTGGGAGCCTTGACAGGGAGGCAGGCAGGAGAGCCCAGCCCTGCTCCCTATGGCAGGTGCTACACCCAGCCGCTTCGCACGGGCCCATGGGGCTAGAGCCACTCCCCGGGGGCGTGAGGCTCCCAGCTCTGACTGGGTGGGGTGGAAGGTGCCAGAGTCAGGATCAGCACCCCCCCCGGCCATGTGCCACTCCCCCCAGCCCCTGGGCTGCGCCATACTGTGTTGCAGACCGGTGGTGTCGGCTGCTCCTGGGGCCGTTGCAGCAGGGGTTGGGGGGAGTGGGGACAAGCGGAGCCTTGGGGGGTTCTGGGCACAGCACCGCCCAGCAGCTGCAGGCAGTTGGCATTGGCTACTCCTGGCGCCACTGCAGCAGGGGCTGGGGTGAGTGGGGACAAGCTGTGCCATGCCCGGGGCTCTGCTTGTTCCCACTCACCCCATCCCCTGCTCCAGTGGCTCTGGGAACAGCCGATGCCAGCTGCGGAGAGAACTGCAAGTCAGTGGGTGTGCAGCGTGGGGGTGGGGCTGTTGTTGCTATGTGTACCCCGGGAAGGCAGCGGCTTGGGGGGCTGCGCTGGGCTCTTCCTGGGGGCCGTGTGCCCCTGGATCTGTGTGCTGGACAAGAGCAGGCAGCCTCCCGCCCCGAGTACCGGGAGGAGCCTGGTGCCGCTGCCGGCTCCAGCTTGCAGTAGCAGCCTGCTCTCATCCTGCACGCAGATCTGGCCCCCAGGAATAGCCTGGCAGAGGCCTGCAGCAAAAAGTAGCAAAAGCTGTGCCCCACGCCCTGCACCCACTGACAGTTCCCTTCGCTTTGCTCCCTGCTGCAGCCCTGGAAGTGGCCAGTGGGCTGTGCTGCCCCTCCCCCCACCCCTTTCCTAGTACCAACCCTACTCCCTCCCTCACCTCCATGGGAATTTATTATCTTCCCTGATTTAAACCATTTTTTTTCCTTTTCTTCCTTTTATCCCAATTTCAACCTTGTTTGTTTGTTTGTTTGTTTGTTTGTTTGTTTGTTTGTTTGTTTGTTTGTAAAATAAACCCTGAAAATTCCTGGACTTTTTTTTGGAAAATAAAAAACTGAAAATGCGGAACGCTATCAGCCAAGAAGGTAGCCTGTGGAAGAGCTGGGAACTGAATCCAGGCCCTGAGCTTCGTTCTTGCTTCTAAGCCAGTGATTCTCAACTAGAGTGCCACAGCATCCTAAGGTGCTATGCAGTCCTTTTAAGGGTACTGCACAATATTAGCACTGTTAAGTGTGCAGACATCTACACATAGCATCAAACCTTTTGACACATTTAGGGTCTTTTCAAGTTCTTTGGTGTAAAAGCTAGCATTTTCTAAGGGGTACCTTGAGTCTAAAAAGGTTAAGAGCCACTGTTCTAAATTGAGATGTCTTGCAATTCTATTTCTTTTTCCTGTTTTCTTTATGATGAAGGTGCAGTAGGCCTTGCCATCTCATCCTGAGAACTTGGGTGGAGTAGGGCATGTTCTGTCTCAAGTCCACTGAAGTTGATGGATGGATTCTGGAAATGCCGAGTTAAGGATTCAACCACGCAGCAATGTGGGAAAGAACAAACAATGCACGTTCACAGTTACCACAAAAAGACAGCTGGACTTTTTTTTTTTTAACTCTGACCAAAGAGGGCAGCCATTGAAACTGAAAAGTAGTAGACTTAAAACTGAGCGAGTACTCATTTACAAAAAGCACAGTTTAACCAATGGAACTCACTGTCACAAGATACCATGTATACCAAAGGCTTGGTAGGATTAAAAATTGTTTAGACATTGATGGATTGCAAAGAAAATACAATGCTATTTTTTCAGGATATAAACTTCTGAATCATTAACTCTTCGGGACTAGAAAGAAACTTCCTAAGCAGTCTGTTTTATTATGGATTCTATTTTTTCTTCAAAAGTATCTGGTCTGGAGAAAGATGAACTGCCAGTGATGGTCTTAATTGGTATGCTGATTTCAGAAGTTTCTTTTATATATCATTGTATGTATATAGAATACAATAATAATGTAGATTTGCTTTTGATCCAATTATGCTCTTGAGAGTTGCATGACAAATAAGGGCCTGGTACTCCTCTAGTTGCCTTTCCCTTTGTGAAGGGGATGGTCGGAGGACCATATGTGTCAGCAAAGAACTGTGATGGTATCTATCTTGAGATGACAAAAATGGGATTTTCCATGAAACACAATTTCTTTTGTGTGTGTGATAGATATAAATGAAAGAGAAAATGACACACAGAGTCACAATTCGTAGGCACATGGCTCTCTGACCATCCCTTTCACAAAAGGAAAGGCAACTAGAGTTATCAGGCCCTTATTTGTATAAAGCAGTCTTCCCTACCCAAGTGTGGTGGGGCTGGACCCGATGATCTGTAAGGTCCCTTCTACCCTAACAACTAGAACTATAAAGGATGCATTTTGTTTTGTGTTGTTTTTTTCTTAGTTTTTCCAGCAAGACTTAAACAATCATGCAGAATTATCCTAGCTCTAAGTGTGTGCTTGATATCTCTTTAGATAATTTGGTATTGGGGAAGGTGAGGTTTTGAAGGAAGACTGAGTAACACTTTAAACTAACATAACTTGAATTAATGACTTAATATTCCTTTTCTCCATTTAATACGACATTTTATAATTTTCCTTTGCTCACAGTAATTCATTTTTATTTCAGAGAAATGGCAGAAGAGAGTATATTCCAGAATCTCCTGGCAATCCTGATGAAAACCTCACGGGAAATTGAATTGGCCTGCAAGGACTCCTGTGAATCAGTAAATCTAGACATGGACCTGCTGCTTATAGCAGAATGTTTTAGGTGCTTACGGAATGCCTGTGTCCACTGTGCCAAGAATCAACATATTATAAGGTATAGTTATGATCCATGTATGCAGTTCGGACGTTGTTAGGTTCTTGTCCTTATAGAGGCACTGTCTTGGACAGAATTCCCTAAAAGAACATTCAGGTAAAAAGAGAAAAAAAAAAAAAGTTTACAAAAAATACAAGTGTCAGAGTGAATTTTACTGCATTGAGATGCAGCAAAACATTTCTTAGTCCTTCATGTGAGTCAGTTAGTCAGTATAAAAAATTATCATGGTTTTATTCTTTTTTTCGTGTGGGGGAACCTGCAAAATCAGAGGAGCTGCTATACACCCCACTCCTGCCAATTTTGCAGGTTCTTCCACGTGCCTCCCTGCTCCCACTGCTTGCTGCTCACTCCTGATCAGCAGGGAGGTGAAAAGCACAGTTTTAAATATGGTGCTGTCTTTGCCTCCTGGCTGGTCAGCAACAGACAGGGCCCCATAGCCAAGCAACGTCAAGTGACAAAAATGGCACCATACTTAAAACTGCGGTTTTCATCTCCCTGCCGATCATAGTAATAAAAATACTATGATAGTATCCATATTTTTGCTTTCTTTACTAGAAAAAGGGCTGGAAATGGAATTTCTTGGTGTTAACAATAATATTGTTTTCAATATGATTTATACTGTTACTTCTTCATTTCAAATGTTTTGGGCTTCACTGTTTTACTTATGTTCCAAAATGAGGGTTTTGTGGTTGCATCCCATAACAGCCAAATACCTAAACAATCTCAAACTACTGTAGCTTTTTGCTGAACTAAATGTTGACTTCCCTGCCCCCACCTCCCTCTCTATTGCTACAATTAAGCACAAATGCATTGGCTATTTTGTCTAAATGAAGGCCTTTTCAATAAACGTGTCTTGCCATCACGGAGTTAGATATTTCAGATCTTGGAAAAAAGGGGTGTGTGTTTCTGAATCAAATAACAAAGATTTTTTTCTCAAATACAGGCTTATTTATATCTGTATAAATAAAGACCTCAGTAAACAAACATACTTGGGAAGATATAAGAAGCCCATGATGGCACATTCAAGAAATAGTAGCATATTCCAGGAAAATGGTGGTATATTTTTTTTTGAATTGCTGCATACTATAGAGTAGGGGTTCTCAGTTCTCAACCTTATTCTTCCTGAGGCCCCCGCAGCATACTATAAAAACTCCGTGGCCTATCTGTGCCACAACTGCCTGGCTCCCCAGCCTTAGCCACATGGGCTTGGGTGAAGCAGGCAGGGAGCCCCAGGGCCCTACTCACATGAGCAGCAGCACTGTGCATGCACAAGTGCATAGAATCATAGGGCTGGAAGGGACCCTTGTGGAAGAAACAGGCTTCACTCTATTGTTTGGTCATGAAGTTGTTGGAGACCTTTATTTACAAGTAACTACTGGGGAGAGCACTGGACAGACAGAACTTCCTCTTATCAGTCCTGCATGCCCCCCCCCCCCCCCCCACCCCACACCCAGGAACTTTTCTAT